ATGCTTATATCTGTAATCCTCTGAATAAAATTTCCAAGTTTGACTGTGTGGCAATCCCCCTACTCCACAAACAGAAACTATAGGGAATGTTTAAAAAGCATTTTTTCATTATGGTTTGGAGAATGTACTTCAAAGAAAAGTACCATCAGAAATTCTTTGCCTGATGCTGAAGGTCTAAAAAATGTTGAGCGTTAAAGCTATCAAATTTGTTTACAAAAAGCAAAATAATTTTAAGAAGTGTAATTACCTAAATTTCTTCATTTAAGACATACAATAGAGTATTTCACGTTAAACCATATAATGCACATTCTCTGAGAATGACAGATATTATAGATTATTTTAAATCATCCCTTTTATTTGAAATGTAGGAAAAAAATCTCCATTACTATTTCCCTTCCTAAACTAATTTTCCTCTGTTAAAGAAAATCTAAATTGAATTAAACAAATTTTCTTGCTCCTGCATGTTTCCTCTATTCTCTTTAACTTGAGAACTGGTCATATTCTGACTCTGTGCAAGACCAGTAGTGCCACTCTGCAGGTGCAGCAGAAGACAATACTCTTCAAAGGACTGTACCTGGAAAACTGCAATATCACTTGACAAAACTCAGTGCCAGACAATTTAGTCAGATGGCTGTGTTCAGTACCTGTTGACAAACAACTAAGATATCTATGTCCTCTAGAATCTGCCAGTGAAGCTTTGAAAAAGGAAAAAGTTATTCATGCAAACAATTGACTAACAGTAGTGTGGCTTCAGTTTCTGGTTTTCAGAATCCTGGAGTTTTCATAATACAATTCAAAGAGTTTCAGATGAGTTTTAATTTCAAAAAACCAGTTTGCATATCCTATGCAGCAATCCAAAAGGAGGTGCTTTCTGAAGAGTTTATGCTTTCCTTTGAAATTGTAAAAAAAATGAAAAGCACTGGCTAGGTAAATCCACTGTTTTCAGTAATTCATACTACAAAATATTTAGCTAGTTATATTCCTGTCACAGAGCAAACATGGAAAACCTCCAGTAAATTCTGATCATTTCATATCAATGAAAATGCATCACTGACCCTGCAAAGATGAAGAATTACCAGGTCATGGACCTGATTTTATGGTTAATTAGATTATTGCAGACCATAAATATTCAGGGTAAAAGTGATCCCATTCTGATGTGTAGTCAAACACAGAAACTGAATAAATTTGTGAATTTGTATGGTCACTGTTAACATGAACACGTTTGGTGGCTCTAACTAAAGTAGGATTTGTCTTTACAAACTTGATTGCAATAGTTATATAAGTTGCCTTCATTCAAACAGTTCCTGCTTTACCCATAACTTCAGTCTATATATATAGCTAAACCAAAAACAATTTAGAAACATGCTATCTGTAAAACAAAAAAGTTGTTAAACTCTACTACTCCCCTCCCTTGAGGTCTCCTAGACTTATCAAAATAGCAGCACTTGCTCTAAGTCTAAAACACTAAATTTTAGGTTATTTGAGAATTAACTTCACAGAATATTCTGTTGCTATCTACCTTTGGACACAGAAGGGCTATGGATGTCATCAGTCTGAACTTCTGTAGGCCTTTTGACATGGTTCCCTAAAACATCCTTCTCTCTAAATTGGAGGGAAAAGGATTTGATGGGTGGACTGTTTGGTGGACAAGGAATTGGCTGGATGGTTGCAATGGAGAGTAGTGGTCAATTGTTCAATGCCCAGATGGAGATCAGTGATGACTGGTGTCCCTTAGAGGTCCACACTGGGACCAGTATTGCTTAGCATCTTCGTTAGTGATATAATGGCATCAAGTGCACCCTCAGCAAATTTGCAGACAGCAAGCTGAGCAGTGCAGTTGCCACACCTGAAGGATGGGATGTTATCCAGAGGGACCTGGACTAGCTCAAGAAATGGGTCCATGCGACCTTCATGAGGTTCAAGAATACCCAGTGCAAGGTGCTGCCCCTGGGTCGGGGAAACCCCTGGTGTGACAAGGCTTGGAGGATGAAAGGACTGGAGCAGCCCTGCCCAGAAGGACTTGGGGGGTGTAATGTAAAAGTTTCAGTATTAACCCTCATTATTAGATGTGTTGCAGGCATCATACAGAAGCAACCCTTCACTTTGCAAAGTGCTTGCTAATCTGCACAGATAGAAAACCTTTCACCATTAATATGCAGCTACAGCACATCAGTTATAAAAATCACAGTATAACTACTGTAAACCATAAATTTATGAGTAATTCTGAAGGTTGAAAAGTTTATATGCAATTAAGAGGAAGCGCTAATTGCTCATTTTTAAAATTTCCTAGGATACTGATCTCCAGGTTTCACTGCTTCTTTAATGCTACTCTTGGTATATTAAAAGCTGAAGAAACATCACCTAATTTGATCTGATATGCACACAACACGGATTTAGACTATACTTGATGTGGGACTTCTAAAATGGTAACCCATGGAGCAACAGTGTGGGTAAGATTGCAGTGCACAATACTTTGCATTTCAGACAGGTTATTCTTTCACAGCTTTTAAAGCTTCATACCTCTGCTAGTTTTGGAGGCTGTTTTACAAGACTGCTGTTTTCTGTATATCCTTAACACGTATCCATTAACAGTTGTGTTACGTAATTCTGCTTTCAGGTAGCTGTGGGAAGCTCACTGATGTTCTTTTTTAAGATACAAATCTACAGCAGGCCACAGAGCCTTGATCAGTCTCAGAGATAGAAGCCTCAAATTTATTTCTAAGTCCTGCAAACTCTTTGAATCAAGGCTAGCCAAAAATGGGGGCTCTTGCAGATTGATTCTATTAGACTGGGAGATCAGTTGGGGAAACACCTTTTGACAGAGCTCTGTTTTGCTACAAAGAAGGCCCTCTGTCCTAATTTCTGGAACATGGCAGGATTCAGTATTTAGGCTAACAGAGCCCTTGTTAAGCAAAACCATGTAGCAAAGAAACTCAGCTCTTTCAGGGCTAGGCTGTCTTCTCTATCAGCTGGTATATTCCTCCTGTGAATGTGCTGATCCTTTCTATTCTGCATCCATAAATGAAGCATTTGAAAATATAAAGGCTAGTCAAACTTCTCTTCTAACTATACCTTGTGTATTTCTGGAGTACGGTATAAAAAAGTTGCAGCTGATAATTTCTGTAACCAGAACTGACTTATTTTCTACAACTTTTTTAAGATGAGAAGTACATATCACCATCTCTTAACAATATCCTACTAGTTTGGCAGCAGTGTAAATGTCTTTTATTCTGTGCCAGAAGCAGTCCCATGGAGATTAGATTGGTTACAGTAACATTGAACTCACTCAGTATAACAACAGGCCTTGACCATACAAAAATTACTAGAAGTAATCTAGTCTTTCAGTGGCATCTGATTTTATTTTAGTCTTTTTTAAGTCCAGTTCCATCTATAATGAAGAAATTAAATGTAATTTTCTCTGTTGCTTTCATAACAGGAATTTCTATCCTTTCCAGTTCTTTTCAGTTGCTTGAAATATTTTACCATCTGAAACTAGAGTGCTTTGGCAATAAGGAAGCCTCACAGCTAGAGTTGGAGGAAATAAGCAAGGTGTTCCTTATGAAAGAAATCTTTTAACAGCTTCCTTTGAATCCAGACCTTTCAAAAGCCTGCTCGGTGGCTTATAAGGAAGGTGGAATCTGAACACCAGTAAATTACTTTCCTTATAGAATATCAGTTCTCCCTTCTCTATCTCCCCTTACCCTAGCCCTAAAGAAACAAGAAACATGCTACTACTTTCCTCTACAGTGACTCATCTGCTGAAACTCTACTGTAACCTGATGTGTCCATTACTGACTGTGCACCAACCTCTTCCATAAAAGTTTTATGGAGGTATGGGAGAATGATGACATCAAGTAAAGGATTAGTTGTGTGGAGGATACCTGAGGTGCTGCAGAAGGGACTGCTGGAACACAAGTTAGGGCAAAGTTCAGAGCAAAACATCGTTTTGGGACTCATTTCCTACGAGGGCAGAACTACCAGGAAAAGTGTATCGAAACCTAGACTGGCATTAGCAAAACAACTAGGGTAAAACTGATTTAAATTAAATTATTGAAAGAGGTTTTTTAGTTGTTTGTAGAAGATGAATTAAGACGTTAAAATTATAATTCTGTAATTGACACGTGCATATTTTTAAAAATCTGACATTGATGTCAGATACACAGACTTGTGCTAAAAGAGTAGAGCTTAAAGAGCTTAAAATTAGCTCTTTTCCCACAATATTTTAATGGTAAGATTATATATACATGTTAAATTATCAGCAGCTTTCTGCAAGACAAAAGCCCTTTTTGCACAACTGTCCTTCTTCTCATGTAGTACCTAGACCTTTTCTCCATAACACATGATGAGAGCAGCGCAATACCCTTTCTGAGTGTGAAGATCACTTTCCTGTGCAAACCTAACAATATAGTGCACCACAGACCCTTTTTGAACACCTCACAGAGGAGATGGCACACTCACTAGGCTCACAGCTGATTTACTGCAGATCTTAAAGCACAAGACACATGAAAATCAGATGTCTGTAGGGAACACCAAATTTACTAAAATGATGCAAGGACAGTATGCATTCAGCAACACACAAGCACATACCTGAAAAAGGCACATGAGGGTCAAAGGAAAGACTACTGGAAGAAAACTATGAGTAGTTTCCTTGTCCAAATATAGTCCCTGTTACAAAGCATTCAAAAGTAAATGACACAATGGTCAGCAAAAGACTTTCGAGCAGCTGGTCTCATGTTTCCAGCTACAATCCATTGCTGTGGAAGTTACTGTAAGTCTAGAAGCAGTAGCATGTGGCATCAGAAACTGCATGGACACACCACTCATGTGTGTACAAGATGACAGTGAAGTGCTCAGCTTATCCAGGCAGACCAAAGCCAGTCTTGGGTGCTTCCAAACACCTTTGGCTTTGAAGTGAGGTCAAGGTAAAAAAGAGACACTTTTACTGGTACTTCATGGAAATCACCTGGTTCAACACCCCATTCAAAACAGATTCATCCAGATCAGGTTCACCTGGAACTCGTCTAGCTGAGGCTTCAGTATCTCCAACATGGCCTTCTCAATGGTGCAGAGGTGCTGACCAGCCTCTCATGACCTGGTATTCTCTCCCCTGATTCTGGAACCTAAGCTGGAAAAAGATGATTTAAACATCTCAAACAATATAAAAGATCATCCCATATTTTCCTCAATAACATGGTACAATTAACCTCAAGAGCACCAAAAGGACTGGGCGATTTCATAAATGTCAGTAACGGGAAATGATAAAATGACTAAATGTTACACTACTACAAGATCCACAATGATCTCCTTCCTATTCAGGAGAAAATCCACATCATCTACACTTGAATCCTCATAGTCTTTTAACCAATACTGAGTTGAGGTGTCCTCTCAGTATATTCAATTCAAATAAAGAATAAATATATCTTAGGCAAGAAGATGACATCTGTCTTCAAAGTCAGTTATTCTTCTCAAGCTGGGTAAAAATAACTTCAAGGAATTTTAAGGAATTAAACAAATTGGAATGCTATTTACTTATTCCGGAGTAAAGTAAATCCACACACATCCTTTTTAAAGGTGAATATTTTTATTTATCCCCAGGTACAGGAAAAAAGAGCATTAAATGTCTTGATGTATAAATAATTATAGTTATGGATAACACTAGAACTGCCTCTGCTATTATGAAGAACTTAAATGGAACCTGTGGGCTTCATGATTTATGACTAAAAAGCACCAAGCATTTAAAATCCATTTGGAAACAGAACTGGAATGGAGCTTTCAGACTCCCTGCATCTAATCCTACATCACTGTTAATGAAAAGCATTACTCACTCCCGAATCTGTATTTCCAGTATAGCTTCTTCATCAGCCTATGAATGTAGATACAAAGTTGTCCATCATCTGTATGGAAATGTTATACAGCAGCATCTTATTAAAAAAAAACAAACCCCAACACAAACAAACATACATATTTAAAGCAGGAGCTGAGACTTGATAAGCATTTAAGGAAAGAAATCGCAGACAAAAAAGCACAAACATTACCACTTTCCTGGAGATTAAAAGCAAAAATACCCTGAATTGTAATTTATCAGTTTACCTCACATATTTGCAGGGAACGTTTACAGATAAAATTATAAGGATGATCTTACATCAACAGAGCAATTCTCATGCCTCTGTGAAGAAATTTTCATCTGCAAACTTCCTTCCAATTTAGTTTCTTAGAGTGAAGAAATAATAATTAATCTGTAAACCAGATGGAAATGGTTTTAAAATGCCACCTTTAGCACCATTTCTCTTCTTGGAAGGTGCTCAAACCATTCCAGTGACTAAAGCATGGGAATTCTATATTTTCAGATGGGTTGATTCCCCGCATGACCTTGAAAAACTGTTTTCAACTCATCTATGCCTCAGTTTCCCAACACATAGAGAAGACAGAGTGAACAAAAAGTTAATCATGGGAGCTGAGTTGAGGCATTGAATGGAAAGTATTCCTTGAACAAAAATGACAGCAGTCACTCTGGTCTATGCATTTCCTCAGCGTAGTCCCTGCCACTTTTAATGTTTAAAAAAATTAATGGTGCAATATTCTGATTTTATTGATAAAATGAAGCCCCTTGCAAACACTGTTATACAAAGACATTTCTTATTTTCATCCTAAACCTGCTTCAGCAGTAACATCGATTTCCTCCTCAAAACCTCCCAAGCTTAAAGACAGATCTCAGCACAGAAGAGAGTCAGAGTTAATTCCTTCCTACATCTCCAATAGCACCTACTGCTGGTGATTCATTACATATTAACAACTGCAATATGCAATCTTTTCTGAAATAGCTTCTCTGGTCACCCAGATATATCATTTATTTGTTCTTGAGAGAGGCTTTAAGTCAGCACAAAATGAGCATTCACATGACCGGTGTCAGCATATGTCAGTAGCTACTGTAAACTGTATATACTATAATGCTTTAAAACATCTATTTGAGTTATTAACTTTGATCTTTAGCCCCTTAACCCCCTAAAGAGCGAGCTGGCTTGCACAAACAGCATAAGGGGAAAAAAATAAAAATAAAATCAGCAAAAGTTGGTCACATATGTTGTTTTAATTTTGTACTTAGGCTGAACAGATGCTTTTTATTTCCAGATACCATTAAGAGTCCAACACTGCTCAAACTTAGCTTTATATATACACCACATCTATATAATTTCAGTGAATTTTTATATACATTTTAGTTTAAAGAGCTTTAAATACTATATATGATTTTAGCTCATTTTAATTACTTTCTACTAATATAAAACGAAGTTTCTAACTTCACAAGAAGTTCTAATCCTATAGCTTGTGTATATATTCTTTAAGGAACCTTTCAATTTGCTTCGATATGGTTAGCTCATGTTGACAACAGGAAAAAGAACACAGAAACTATGCTAATCTCCTTATTTCATTTACCTTAAAGGCTGCAACACAGGAGCACACATGCAAACAAATCAGAGAATTCCACCTCAGACAAAAATAAGACCTTTTGATAGTTCTGTGCCCGAAATTCTACTTTAACATGAAGTGATCAAAAGGACCAAAAGTCATTTCACAAAATCCTGAAAAAAGACCTGATGCATCGCCTGTTCTCTTCCCTTTCCAATCTAAACATAAATACAATTTATCTTTTGTGTCACACATCCTCCTTGCTATACAGTGGAAATTAGCCTCCCTTGGAATTCATATTTGAGAGTCATCAGAAACCCAAATAGTTCAGAGACATCAGAGATTACATCTCAAAATGTACAGAGATTGACATGGGATGTAGGAAGACAAAACGGCTCAAGTTTCTTGACTAAGTTGCAAACTGATCATGACATTTCAAAAGGCATATTTCCCTAATGTGAGAAGTAATTTGTAGTAATGGTTTAATTCAGAAAAGTCAGCAACTGTTTCTGGCCTAAAACACTTTTCTCTCCTTCCCAACTCCAGGAATATTTTTGTGACTAAACTAAATGCTAAGAAGAGATGTGTGAAGCCCCTGAACTGTCAGCAGCTCCCCATGGATGGAGGTGCTCCCCACAAAGTCCTCAGGGGCCCTATCACACCTATCCTAGACCCTCAAAGAATGTCTTAAGACATCAATTATGGCACACCACAAAAATTTAACTTTTCCAGCTGACGGTTGACAAAAACACTCTGCCATTAACACTGGCATGTTTTCTTTGTTCACAAACAACCTGTCCAAAGAAGGAGTAAGAGCCATGCTACATCACCGCCTCTGGAGCAGAGCAGCTCCTGAAATAGCAGTCAACAATTCCCATCTTAATGTTAACAAGTTTTATTTACACAGGACTACTAGAGTAACAGCAAAAAGCCAATGCAGACAACTATTTAAGAGACACAGATCATAATCAGGGTTACAAGTCTCTAAATGGGTCATGGATTGCATCTCTAGGGTTCCAGCACTTCAGGTGGAAAATCTAAAAAAGTCAGATTCAGGGGTTTTTTTGGTGTTGGTTTCTTTTTCTCTCATCATCTTTTAAAGTCACTGTTTTTCAGAGGATTCCTACATTAACATGAACTTTAAACGGAGAAAGTCAGTAGGAGTATGAACTTGTCAAAGACATGAATTTGTACATTTTCTTCCCTCTGTTGCTCACTTTTTGCAGGTGAGTCTTTAATAAATGCTAGAAAAGTTTCTTGTTTTAACTACACAAGGGAAAACAAAGTCACTAGCAACAGAACACGAAACAGTCTGCAAATACTGTAGTAAGAAAACTGAAACATACCCCTATCTCACGACTTTCTAAACTCCTTGTATCTGGAGGGAACTGATCTTCAAAAGATAGTCCATTTTAAAAGATTCACGCACTTCCTACATAAAACCCCTAATGTATATTCAATTTCAGCCTCTTTATGGCTGAAACAAACCACAGCTTCAAAAAAGGTATTGTGTACAACAGTACGATATTCACCTATATTGAGTCTGGCTGAAATGGAGGTCATTACCCCCATAGCAGCCTTTTTACTGGCAGCTAGGAAGGTGTTGATAACAGAGCAGTGTTTTGGATACTGCTGAGCAGTCTGGCACAGCATCAAGGTTGTTCCTCAAACATTCCACTCCCACCAGTAGGATGGGATGGGCAAAATCTTGTGAGGCAAAACAACCAGGACAGCTGTCCCAAATTGACCAAAGAAATATTCCATACCATGTGACACCTGCTCAGATGTAAAACCTGAGGACGCAGGAGGAAGTGAAGGCATTTACTCTTTACAAGGTATGTCTTCCAGAGCAAACATTATCCATGTTGAAGCCCTGTTTCCAGGTGCAAGTGGTCAGACACCACCTGCTGATGGTAAGTAGGGAATAAAATATTCTTGGGGACTTTTTTTTCCTTTTTTTTTTGCTTGCATGCACAGGACTGTCCCTGGTGCTCTAATAAACTGTGTTTATAATGTTCTAAAAGAGTTTTTTCATCTTGTTTTGTCACCCATACTCCTGCTGAGGAGCTTGGTGGGCACCTGGTATGTAGCCAAGGTCAACCCACAACAGTTCTTCTTGGTGTCCAACTTGGAGCATGAGGAATCTGAGAAAGGGACAATAACTGGGAGGGGTAACTGGTAAAACAAAGGCTGAAAAAATGTTGGAGTGGAATGATCAAGGAGAATTTATGTTTTAAGTGTCGTGAAGGGACCCAATTTGACCCTGTGCAAATTGTCCACTTTTGTTTAGTGTTGTGATGATGTTATTTTGATTATGGTGCAGAGAATTCTTTTTGTGTTGATGTGAGTGAAGATTGTGTGATAAATGTGAATTTTAATGACATTTTTAAAATATGTGATTCACAGAGGCAAGGGACGGAATACATTGGTTTTGTGTGGCAAGGTTCTGTAGCGAGGGGGATACAGAGGCAGCTTCTGTGAGAAGCTGCCAGAAGCTTCCCCCATGTCTGATGAGGCCAATGTCCAATGTCTGCAAGATGGACATACCACCAGTCAAGTCTGAACCTACCAGTGATGGTACCAGCACCTCTGGGATAACACAGTTAAGATGAAAAAAAAAGGTTACTGCACAGAGGCCATTGCAGATAGAGAAGTGAGGTGTGAGAACACATGAGAGAAACAGCCCTGCAGACACCAAGGCCAGTGAAGAAGGACAGGGAGGAGCCCTGCAGGCTGTGGTGAAGACCATGGTGAAGCAGACTGTCCCCTCTGCAGCCCACGGAGGTCCACAGTGGAACAGATATCAACCTGCAGGCCATGGAAAATCTCACATGTAAAGGAGAGTGTGACCCTGGAGGAAGCCTGTGCTACAGCAGGCTCTTGGCAGGGACCTGTGGGCTCATGGAGAGAGAAGCCCACACTGGAACAGGTTTGGTGGCAGGACTTGTGACACTGTGGGGGACATATGCTCGAGCAGCCCTTTCCTGAAGGACTGTACCCTATGGAAGAGATTCACACTGCAGCAGTTCATGAAAAGCTGCAGCCCTTGGGAAGGACTCACAATGGAGAAGTTCATGGAGGACTGTATCCCACAGTAGGGACCCCACACTGAGCAGAATAATGTGAGGAGTCCTCCTGCTGTGGAGGACAGAGACAGAGACAATGTGATGAACTGACCACAAACCCCATAACTACCTCCCTGCACTGCTGAGAGAAGAAGGCAACAAACTGGGAATAAAGTTAAGCCTAGAAGGAAGGGAGGGATCAGGCAAAGGTGTTTTTGAGTTTATTTCTCATCATTTTACTCTGATGTGATTGATAATAAATTCAAATAATTCCCCGACTCCAGTCTGTCTTGCCTGTGATGGTAACTGATGAGTGATCTCTCCCTGTCCTTATCTCAGCCCATGAGCCTTTCATTATATTTTCTCTTCTTTGTTTAGCTGAGGAGGAGAGGGATGGTGTCAGTGGTGGGCACCTGACACCCAGC